GTTTGTAAAGACATATACAGTGTGGTTAATTATGGCAACGTTTACTCTTACAAATCTCTCTTATTTGAAACACTGCAAAATGCAAAGTTTAGAGATTTACATGAGAGTATGTGTGAAGCTGTCTGAAGCCAAATGCAGCTGTTTTGCTGCCCAGTCAGTCAGTGACTTCACAGGCAGCAGCATGTTTGTATGAAGGAACCTCCTAGGGAAACTGCTTCAGACAGACTTCCATGGTGCCAACGTAATGTCTAATGATCAAGAACAAATTCAAGTGTGCTTTAGTAAACTGAAAAACAACATGGCATTTTTAATTTAATTCAAACATCTGCTAAATGACATGTGTTGGTTTATGGCAGCAAAGGATAAATCAATGGTGCCTTCGAAAAACTATGAAGGCATCTTAGTAGAAAAGCATATTATGAAAACTTTGGATTAAGACTTGATGCCATGCAGATACAGTCAGACAGTTCTCAAAAGCCTATGTCTGCAGGAGTTAAATAGCATCTCAGATAATCAAAAATATGAAAGTAACCATTTTTAGTCAACTGTTGAAAAGTGTGGGGTCGGTAAGATTTTTTTTTTTTATCGCCGGAAAATAAAATAAAAAGATTGTTGATCCTGAAGAAGTCTCTTATGCTTAAAAGGCTGTATTCGTTTGATCAAAAATACAGTATAACAATAATATTGTGAAATATTATTATAAATTTAAAGAACTGATTTCTATTGCAATATTTTGTAATATATAAATTATTTCTGTGATGCAAAGCTGAATTTTCAGCAGCCATTACTCCTGTCTTCAGTGTGACATTATCCTTCAGAAATCATTCTAATATGCTGATTTGGTGCTCAGAAAACATTTCTTATTAATATTAATGCTAATAAAACAGTTGTGCTGCTTAATATTTTTGTGGAAATTGTACTCCACAAATATGAATAAAACTACAAAAGCACATCATTTTATTTGAAATAGAAATCTTTGTTACATTATAAATGTCTTTACTGTCACTTTTGATCGTTTACTGCTGCTTACTGACTCCAAACTTTTGAACAGTAGTGTAAGTGCCCTTGTGGTAAAAACAAAAGAAGCAAACTTTTGAAAAATATGAATTGGGAAAGCAGCTGCTAATAACAAAAGCCTCTGTATTGAAGCTGTCGCTTTGATATTCAGCGCTTGTGAATTTAACAGCCTGTCAAGCTTTAAATTCAGTTGGGGAAAATCTTGTGACTTTATTCCCCTCCAGTGTTATTTTAGTAAAATCAAAATGTTACAAAAGCAATTTGTGCTTGGCAAGAGCTGCTGTACTTCATGTGAAGAGAGATTCTGAATACTCAATCATCAGAAATGTCACAGAGGAGCGTTCTGCTTGAAAAGTGGAAAACTGATGTGCTGATGGCTTCTTTGTGTTCATTTGACGTAGTTTCTGTTCACTTTTGTATTGTAATGTTGACAAATCCCTGTCTTATTTCAAGTCTGCTTGACTTCCACACAACGGAAAAAAAGCTGCATTATTGACATACTGCTCATTGCAATAGATCATTTCTGTCTTGTCTAAAATATGCTATGTTAATGTTACAGGGAGAAATGCACCCTTAAAATATAGCTACACAGTACTTTTCAAGGCAGGTCTTAGTTCAGTAGAAAATGACAGCCAGGTGTATATTAAAGGAAGAGTTAACCTCAAAATGAAAATTTGCAAGAAATGTACAGGTCATCTAAGATGATGTTTCCTCTTAGTTCCTTCTTCATCACATCAGATTTGGAGAAATTCTGCAATACATCACTTACTCACCAATTAATCCTCGGCAGTGAATCCAATGACTCCAGTCCATCAATTAATGTATCGTGAAGCGAATAGCTGTATATTTGTAATGAACAAATCCACCATTAAGATGTTTTTAACTTAAAACCATTGTTTCTGGGTAAAATATGACTCCTCCATAATATTGCTTTTTCCAGTGAAAAAGGTGTCCTGTCTGAATCAGGAGAGAAATATGCTCAATGAAAACAGTTAAAACTGATTTAAAAAAGATTTTGACATGAGAGGACAACAGAGGATGGATTTTTCACTGGAGGAAGCGTTATTATGGATTATTGACTATTTTAGGTATTTTTGCCAGTAGCGACTTTTAAAGTTTAAAAGTATTAATTATGGATTTGTTTCTTATGAACACGCAGCTTTTCACTTCACAGGACATTAACTGATGGATTGGAGTCATGCAGATTATTGTTTTTATTAGTTGTTTGGACTCTCATTGTAACGGCACCCATTTACATCCAGAGGATGAGCAAGTGATGTAATGCATTCTCCAAATCTGTTCCTATGAAGAAACAAACTCAAACAAAGGTTGAGTACATTTTCAGCAAATTTTCTTTTTTTTCTTCTGCTTCTTAGCCTTCTTGTAGACTTTTTGAAAGCATATTTCCACTTTTTTTATCCTTTTTATCCTCTTTTAACAGTTCGCTGTTGCCAAAACTCTGGGAACATGTTTAAAGTTTCAAATGTTTTCAGAAGCAGTTAAGAAATGATGAAGTGATGTGACTGTAGGAAACAAACATTTGTGTTGGAGCATTGTGGGAGGTGATAATTGTGTCCTCATGCACACTTCACTCCTGTTTGTGGATGATTAATCATAGAGGTGTCAGTGTTGATTATCAAAATATACGTGATGACAGGCAGTCTAGCTATTACACAAAACTGTCCTTTCAGATGTTAAATTCACATAAAAAAAATAAAAAAAAATGCAGCAGAAACCTTTAGTGGTGAGGTGTCATTAATCAAGAGCGTCGGACGTAGGAAGAGGTGGGTGAGAAGGTGAGATGAGATTTGGTGCTCAGGGCTTATTTTCAGCCTCCATCCTTGAAGCAAAGTATTAATCAAAAGAAAAATATCTCTCACTCGTGTCGGATTCTCGCAGTGTAGCTCACCTCCAAAGTGGCTGGCATTTTCATTTTGTTGCATCAGCATCTGTACTGGCCTTTGAATAATGTGTACATTTTTTGGTAAAAATCTTCCAGAAGAGATCTCATTGAAAAATGATTTATCACGGTACGCATCAACTCAAATCATATTTATAGCACTCAACATCCCACTGCCATACGAGCTGTTTGCATGAGATAATATTTCAGTATTTTATTTGCACATTCTGGTTTCCCAGGAGTGAAAAATGCAACACCTGTACTAATTACTCCCCCGTGAAGAGGAACTGAAACTATCAATGGCTCGAGGCCTGGTTGTTTGATCCAAAATCACTAAACTGAGCACAGCATGAGCTCTCTTTACTGCCAGTTGCTGTGAGCTTAAAGGAAATAGTTCATGCAAAAATGAAAATTCTGTCATCATTTACTCACCCTCACGTCATTCCAAACCTGAATGACTATGTTTTCTCTATGGAAAACAAAAGAGGATTTTAGCAAAAACAGTGCCATAATAGCCTCATAAAAGGAAATATGACTCATGAACTGTATTCCAAGTCTTCTGAGCCATTTTACAACTAAATTTAACTAATAATCTTGCTTGACAGCTTTTTACTTTTACTTTATAGTAAAGAGCAGCTCAGACAATATGCTATACATAAGAAAGTTTTGAAAGACACAAAGGTGAGTAAATGATGACCCACTTTTCATTTTGGGGTGTACCATTTATTTTTCTTTCTTTCTTTCTTGAATTGTGCTTTTTACTTCACAATACTAATAAAATTGAGAAATTGAAAAACAGGCAACTGTAACAACAACAAGCGATATAATTTATTTTATTTGTTGCCAAAGCAATACTATAGATGCAATTAAAAAGTTAAGGCACCTGAAGCAGATACTTTTCTCATTTATTTACTCCACTGACTAACTCTAATACTGCTTCTAATTAGAAAGCAACATTTCATTAGATCAGTCTAACAATTAAATCCTAGACATTCTTACAAAAAACTTTTTTTTTCCACAAGCAGAAAAAAAGTTACATTTAGAATCACAACAGTAAAAACAGAACAATGTACAAAAGCTTTAAAAGGAACTAATATGTGCCTTTTACTGATATGTACCTTTAAGGTATTAATATGCACACTTTAGGTACAAGGTTTATATTTTAAAAAGGTAAAACTTTTTTTTACCTTTTTTTTCTAAAAGTGTATGTACATATTAATATGTATAAGACATATTTCTGCCTCTAATAACAGTGGCTTTTCCCTCACTGTTTTTCCTACTGTCTAAGTAAAGATTCTTAAAAGCTGAACTGCTGGATAACGAGTTTTATGTTCTGGGACAAGTGCAAGAAAGTTGAGATCTTGAGACAGGCTCTTTGAAAGTAACTATTTAAAAAACATGGAGCATTAAAAATGTGACATTGAGTACTGAACTCCCGAAAGCCAGTCACAAAGAAAATATTGTGCATGTTTATAATGATCATTAGATTAAACTGCAGGTCGAGCAAAAAGATGCTTTTGAGGTGTGTTTAATATTGAGTTGATCGGTGAGCCTTTGGCAAGAACTGCCATACAATCAGACAACACCAAAGCTGTTTTCATCTTTTAAAAAAGATGTTCTTAAAAAAAACGAACAAACTTCTTAAAATGTAACTTCTTACTTCTTTCTTAAGAAGATATACATGAATCCGATACCTGATCCTTATATATGTGACCCTGGAGCACAAAACCAGTCATAAGTAGCAAGGGTATATTTTTAGCAATAGCCAATAAGACATTGTATGGGTCAAAATAATCGATTTTTCTTTTATACCAAAAATCATTAGGATATTAAGTAAAGATCATGTTCCATGAAAAACTTAATTTTTGATTAGTAATATGCATTGCTAAGAACTTCATTTGGACAACTTTAAAGGCGGTTTTCTCAGTATTTAGATTTTTTTGCACCCTCAGATTCCAGATTTTCAAATAGTTGTATCTCGGCCAAATAGTGTCCTATCCTAACAAACCACACATCAACGGAAAGCTTATTTATTCAGCTTTCAGATGATCCATAAATCTCAATTTCAAAATATTGACCCTAAAGACCTTTTTTATGGTCCAGGGTCACATACAGTATGTCATATACAGTATATAGAATATACATATGAGACCAATTAATTTCACATTCTTGTTTTTTAACAGTGTTGATTTCAATGTCTTCGTATATCACCTATCATTCACATTCTGTCTAATGAGATCAAAGACTTTCCTTCCCTTCATCTGAATACCATCTCACTCTCCTGAGCTGATGTTTGTTTAGACACTCAGCTTTACAAGGAGTGTGGCATATTCTTTCATCTGTACCCAATATTACCTCTTTTTGAGGAACAAATAAATATAAACGATCTCAGATATTGAAATATAGAAGAAATTTCACAATACTCTTTGTGTTTGTTTCTGTTTGCGGGGATCTCAGTCAGTTACTTCACCGCTCCAGCAAACAGGGTTGAGGCATCATGTGAGCCTGTAGGAGTTTATTATATGATGTGTATAAAGGGCCAGCTATTGTGTCTCATATGAAATACTCTTTCTTGCTCTCATCCATGGCGTCCTGCAGGGCAGGGTCTCCACGCAGAGCAGTGTCTGCTGTCTCTGCGAACTCTGTGCCCTTGGCCTCATTGGTATGATATGTGCCCTTGTGCTTGTACATGTATCGCAGAATGACGGCCAGGAGGAGGATCAGGATCAGAACCACCACAGCAATGACAACTAGAACACACAGACACAGAGAAAGAGAGGTTATATTAGAAGATAACCTGGGGGATGCAGCTATAAGGTGAGACTGAATGCCCTGAAATAAACAGACTACACTGTTTTGAGTTCAGAGGAGCATTGCTGGCTGTATGTGTTTTTGTCAGTGGTTGATACAGAAAAGGGGTTTTAAAAGGATCATTATTCTGGGTTCGTTATCACAATAAATGTTGATTAATACAAGAAGAAAGTTAGATAATCAGGAAATGATAATTTTTTTTGTGGTATTAGTCAACAACATGCCACAAACGCTGTTGATTGAGTTTAACTTGTACTAAATCTGAAACATATTTCTGATTCATCAGCTGATGCCGATAGCAATATCTAAAGGTGGTGGATGGTCATAAGTATTTTATAATACAAGTTAATGATAATATTTTTTTTTCCAGTAAATAAGACACATACACATTTTACATAATATTTACAAATATATTTACAAAAACTTGAAATAATTTTTAATTGTTTTTTTTTATTAGTTAACTAAAACCATAATAAATTGAAAAAAGGAAAGAAAAAATACTTATAATAACTATAACTACTAAAACTGAAAAAGTTAAAAATGATATAAACATGTTTTTTTTTAAAAAACTAACAAACAACAAAATTACTTAAACTTTAATTAAAATAAAAATGTAAGCAGAAAATATAAAAATTAAAAGTAATTCAAATATTAATAAAAACTATGATAATAAAATAGAAAAAGACCTGAGGCCTCATGTATAAAACTTTACGTAGATTTCATTCTAAATGTGTGCGTACGCACAAGTTTTCACAAAGTTATCAGATTTATAAAGAACCTGCGCAAAAGTCCCTTTATAATACCCAGTCAGCGGAAGATTGTGCGTACATGAATCTCCACCCCGTCTCCTCCCCGAAATAGCCATCAGGGGCCTCATGTATAAAACTTTACGTAGATTTCATCCTAAATGTGTGCGTACGCACAAGTTTTCACAAAGTTATCAGATTTATAAAGAACCTGCGCAAAAGTCCCTTTGTAATACCCAGTCAGCGGAAGATTGTGCGTACATGAATCTCCACCCCGTCTCCTCCCCGAAATAGCCATATATGGAGCTTACAACGCCTAGTTTTAATATGCATAACGTCATCTGCATATCATTCTCATGCATATTTCCATCCACGTGACACCATGTTTAACACAGTTAAGGGTAGCCTACAGTTAGGAAAATATGAGATAGGCTACGGACTATAAATGCGTTTTGAGACATCACTATTCTATTTTATGCAATTTGCCTAAAAGGTAAACATATATTTTAGAATGTTTATAGCCTATATTTTTATGGAAAGAGATAGGCCTTATTTTTTTTGCAGTGTAGCTGTCTGACTCACTGCGTCAATAACAAAACATTTTGAAAATAAAACGCGCATATCTTACAGTTTCCTTCAAATTCTATCTTTTAAATATGGCGTCTGTCACAATATTGGGAAGAGCACGAAAGGGTTATCATTAGGCTACCGTCTGTGCGCGACACCAGTGAACAGTTCTACTGTCATCGGATCTGTTCAATGGTCGAGAAACACTGGTCTAGAGTGTCCGTACGGTGCGCACATATTTACGCTTAGTTTATTTTTTATAAATCCCGATATGTGTGTGAAAAATTGTGTACGCACATTTCCATTCCCATTTTGTGCGTACACAACGTTTATACATCAGGCCCCAGTTCTGTTGATTAGTATCTGCATTTGCCTGGTTGGCCAATTATGTTGAAATAGCCAAATATTGGCTGATTTATTAGCCTATGTCTTGGTCTATAACTAGTTTTTGTACTTTTATTCTCAACCCAACTTATCTTTAGCTATATTCAAGTGGGAATTTAACCTAAAGCTATGTTCAACATCATTAAGCAATATAGACGACGTCATTGTTTACAATACAACCGGAGCACATGCCGCTATGTTGAGGGGCGGGACATTTAGATGATTGCTAGAGGCGGTTTAGCCAATCACAACACACTGGGCCAGCTAATCAATCAGAGCCTATCGTGTATTTCTGAGGGAGGGGCTTCATAAAAGCAGGAAATGATCAGTGCGTTCAGAGGAGAAGGGACAGAGCGGTGTGGAATAAAGGTAAATTATGTGAAAAATAATGCGTTTTTTAACAAACGAAGCATTAACACATGTTAGACTGCACCCCATAAACACAATCAAGCCTATAGAAAACCCAGTCAACCACCCCTTTAAAGTGAGAGGTCGGGGAAATGCGATAACAGAATGTTAGATTCAGGTGTAAATTTTGCGAATGAAAATACAGACAGACTTAACCAATGAAAGCTAATCTTCAGAGTGCCTTGTCTGTAGAAAACAGCAGTAAATCACACAGCCCTAACAAACTAATATGCACAATGAAATACACAAATGTTCTCCTGATATGCCAGACCAGTTTCCTGAAAAAGGTTTTGAGAGCATGTAGCCTATCATTAGATCCCTGCTGTTTACCGATTCCAATTACTTGAGTGTTGAGAACAAACCCACACACTGATTATTCATGTGTAAATGAGCTAAAGTGAGACCACTGTGGTACTGGTACTTTTTTTTTTTTTTTGCTCAGCCAGAGATCTTCTGACGCCAGGAAACATCTTGTGCACAAATTACCTCTCATTTGTACAGAAATCTTCCAAGCCTCTCTGACCATCATCAAAGTGCTGTTCTCAAAATGTTCTCGTAACTACACTCTGGAGGCAAAAAGCATTTTTTTCCACTGACAGCCATGCACTTTGAATAAGTAACATATTGCTAATATGTCATTATCATATAGAAGATATTTTACCAGTGCCCAGTTTTGCTCTGGAAAGCATTTGAAATGGACTGGATATTTGGAAATGAAAATGGATATAATCCTCTGCCTGCTGCCATTTACATCGCTGTTTAGAATCGTTGTTTTGGGCTGTCCGTGTTCCTGTTTTGTCATCTACCACATTTTTTTTTTTCTGTGCCTCCAGAGTAATTAATCACATGACATTTACAGTTCAGGTGATTGGCTCAAAAAACAACTGTGTCCAGACCTAAATGCCCATAAGCTTAAGTAGATTGCAGAAACCATTAACACCAATGGTCTCTACCTAGGCTTTACGATGCTCTCGGGAAAAGCAGCCCTGACAAAAGTAATATTTAACGGGTCAAATTAGATAGAAATATTGACTTAAGGTAAAAGATGCACAGTTTTACATTCTAGTGAGATTAAGGCATGCTAGATATGTGAAGTCTGAGAGCTGCTACACTTACCTCCAACTATGGCTTCAAAGTATGGTCCCTCTAAAGACAAGAAGAAAATATTCTGATGAAGCAAAATTGTATATGTCAAACTGAATTTTATTTTTTGAATAAGAACGCTCATATGACATATCATTTTGTAATATAGTTCTACTATTAACCTCCACTGATTTTAAGCATAAATGTCTCAACATTTGATCAAAGTTAACATGTTATCAAAGTTAGCTCGGTTCGACCCTTTCTAAATGGCTAGAGTTCTGAAACTTTTTGAAGATAAGTGTTTTTTTTAGGAGTGCTGCAGTGCAGCCATGCAACTCTACAACAGGATCCTTCCTGCCTCACTGATCCCTCACAAAACACGTACTGTTGACTTTCCTCCTGTGTTATAATAACACACGTGAATCTTTCATGATGCTTTGTTTTTATAGACAGCTGTCTCCCCCGTTGTATTGCAGCCAGACTCATTCTCTCCATCACCATGGGGACAAAAAGCTTGTTAAAGAAAGTAATTGAAGATAATCATGAATTATTGCAAAGGCAACATCTGCTGCCTTGACTTGACTTTCACTGAAGGACAGGCAAATCAAACATGTTGCTTTCAAAATGGAGATAGGTCTAGTGAGACCCCAAAACTATTTTTAAACAGAAAGGATAATGCAGGTTTGACCAAGCAGATGCCCCCCAAACATGAACAATTAAGCTCCCTCATTAGTGTCTAATAACCTGTTACATTGTGATTAAAAGCTCATTGTGATATGGTGTTTACAGTGTGATTATATTTGGAGTAATTAAGGAGACACAGAACATTCACATTTGGGCAATGTGAAGGGCATGAAGGTGTGTTTGAAGGTATAACAACCACTCATGTGATCTTTAATGTCTCCTTATGAGTTCAATAATTAGTTGTCCTTTAAAAAAGGTGTAGTGATATGAAAAAATAAATAAATAAAAACGACAACCTCACAGAGGCTCTCAGCCAGTGAATTATTTATAAATCAATCAAGTACTTCCAACTCCACCAAGGTTCTCTCTGCAGCATCTTTCCTCAAAACTTTATTAAAACTATGAAATATCTCTCTAATAGAGAGTCTGGTTTGTTTCACAAAGTAGCACATGCTTTTACTGTGAGTCTTCATCATTATAGCATGCAGATGTGTGACCTGCTAACCTCCAAACTGTCCATAAAACCTCTCTTAGCTTCCTCTAAGAGTAGTGAAGTCAGTAGTGACATCTAATGAAGCAAAAAACAAAACAAAAAAAAAATTGTACATTGTACTTTAAATTGTACTTTGAATGCTCTGGAAAACGGAGTCCTGAACATATTGAAAAGCATATTTATTTAAACAGTTGGAGAACAGTGTGTGCTGTACACTCTGAGCTCTTCCAGAATATAAAGACAGACGCCTTTTCAGTACGGTTATTAAAGTTGGAATGATATGAAAACGCCTATTATCTAAATGCATGCTTTTAATCTTATTGAGAATTATTCATCCACTTTTTTTTAATTAAAATATCACAACTTGTTCTGGTGAAACAAAATTCTTCTCTCCGGGGACAAATGCTGGAGATCCCACTGCTCTCTTACAGTCGAATACAAGCTCACATTCAGATCTGCCTTCATCCAATCAACAACCAAGGCAGAGTCTATGTCATACATTTTTACATTTTTCAGCTTGTGCACTCCTCATTTTTACCCATTAAAAAGTTTTACAAATAAACACAATAACCGTATTTAAACCAATGTATGTACACCAACATGAGTTGTATGAGCAACCTAACAAAAGCTGTTTTTGTATATGGAATAGGCCACCTTATGGAGGTCGTGATTGAGGCCACGTGAGGTGATCATCATGTTTTCTTACTATTCCTATTATTGGACACTTTCCTTTCCAAAATTTCCACTTTCCTCTCACTTTCACTTTGTGTAATAAATTAATCACGGGTGACTGCAAATTTCTACATTAACATTGGTAATTGAAAACCTTTGCTTCTGTAATGCACACCACAAGACCAAGGACCAGCAACACGAACAAAAAAATGACCTAGTGCACCTTTAAAAATGCTAACATGTGCTTTAGCTGGTAGGAAAGTTTGGAAAGTTGAATCATTCAAAAGGGGCATGAAGGACACTGTTGTTTTTATATCTCACAGGTCACGTTTTCGTTTCCATTCAGTGAACAGAGAAGCAAACTGTTGAAATCTATTTAGGACTTGAAGCTGAAGTGTGGAATTTCTGCACCACTGGCTTCACCGAACCAAATTGCAAAAATAATGATCGCTTTCAAACAATCTTGCCACAAACTCACCACTGGCTGAGCCGATGCTACTCTATCGGATGCTGAAACAAACGAAGCAATGTTTTGATAGCGCCACAGCACAAATAGCTTACTGTTAGCTGTCACTGCATATTAAATTAAGATAGTAGATTTTTAATTATACTCTTCAGCTTTAAATCTATGACACGTGGATGTGTGGCACAGGGAGACCAGAAATTTCAGGCTAAAATATATGATAGATAATGGATATAGTTCTTATTTTAGAGCAGAAATTCTCGGTAAAGTGGATGTTAAGCCCGTTATAAAAAATCTTTCTAAGTCACACTCAGCGTAGAGCCACAGCACCCCAGGACGGATTAAATCTCTGCTAAATTTGCCATGCAAACACGAGGGAGCCTGTCTGGCCTGGAGGCGTCCCCTCGTTAGCCTCGTTAGTGAAATCCGCCAGCCGCTGTGACATAGAGGAGGACATCTGTGCTGCGTGGCCAGATCTGAAGAACAGCTTCTTTTTTTTTCACAGCCTGCCATGAAAGCCGACGGGTTGGACCTGAAAGATGATGAGGGCCAAAGGCATTCCACCCTCTCTCTCACTTCTGCCACACAGACCCAGGGCAGAGCAAACCCAGCAGCAAGACATTTGCTTTCATCACCTTCCCAGAAGTAGAGCTAATCTTGCCCAAAGCCGGCTTTTGAAGCGCACTGGTAATTGTCTCCCGATAGGATGGGTAGCAAAACCAGGAGCCAGAATGAATTCCAGTCCCTTCAGATCTTGGGTGGGAAACGCATTAAGCTGATAATTTTCCAGCTTGAATTAATGGAAATTTCTCATTGTTGCTCTGCCCAGTGCCCAAACTGTAAATCTGTCCAAATTTCAGCAAATTGGAGAACTACCAAAGCAATGGCATTTAGCTCTGATCTGAACATTTTATTCACCGGGACAACCAATGATCTGGCTGTCATCCGTTAGCCTCACACACATTGGATAACTAGGTTAAAAGTAGCCCTAAATAGTCTACTTTTAGACATCTACTAGAAATTGATTTATTCCCAAAGAACTTAATCAGTTCTTGAAGAAGACACCAAAAATATTGCTTCCTCTTGTAGTCCAGAATCTATAATTTTGCATGCTGATTCTGCTGCTCTCTTTGATTTCACTAAATGTACCACAAAAGGCCCATCACCTCCCTATAGGCAGGCTCTATAGTACATTGTGAAAACCGCAGGAATAGAGGTCCTTGTCTCATCTCTGAGGTGATGAAGTGTCAGTGCAGGACTTCATGTTTCATGTAGAGAATTAACAGCTCCGATGTCTGTCAGGAAAGCACTCGACTGTGGCCATCTGCCTGTGTCAAACTAAGAGTGAAAACAGCCACTAAACGCCTCGCTAAACTCGCTCTTAGACACTCCTTTCCTCTCACTCTCTTTATCTCTCTCTGTCTCTCTCTCACTTCTCAGATGACTGGCTGTTGTTTATTATTCATCATCCTTTTAAAAGAGCAGCTTAGAAATGGACAGACACAGGTGAACTTGAAAACTGAAAGTCCATCTCACATAGGCAATCTCTTATATACATATACATACAGAGTGAAAAATTTAAGGGGGTCTGAATACTTTCCGTACCCACTGTATATATATATATTAGGTACAGATATCAAAAGACATCACAGAGATGTTTGTTTTCAGTGAAAATCAACCCAGTGGCTTTCTTATAGTTTCCACTGAATATTATAGTAAAATATATTTAAAAATTAAACAAATTACACACTTCAGCTTTAAACCAGCTGGTTGTAAAATGTAAGTCCAAATCCTACTATGTGAAGAAGCATTAAAAGCTAAGCAGCTTCCCTTCAAATAGCCCATTGCCAGTAAGGACATTGACAATAGATGATAACCTGAGGGAGCTGCAGAGAATCCTCAGCTTATAATGAACCTCTAACAAACCATACAAATGCTCAATCAACATATTTTAATTAGATACATTTCTCCGTGGTGCAGCAGTCACAGTGAGGAAGAATAAGGCCACCACATAGTCGGAAATCTATGTCGAATGCTCCAAAAATTCCTCATGGATTTCACACTGTTTTACATATTTTCTGCTCTTCAGATGAGGTAAGAATGAGAATTCATTCCCACAGTCCTTTAGTGCAAGCGTTCTTCAAGACAGTCCAATGGGAATGTTGGAGAGTCCTTGTAAAAGTTTAGTCAAAAGTAAAAAAATAAAAAGAAATGATATTTCTTATTTTTAAAGAAATGGTAAGGATGAAAGCATGGCAAGTGTGATACAGTATATTATAATTATCTTTACAGTAATAAATCTGTATAGGCTACATGATAAATAACAAATATAATTGTCTTTATATTTTGGGAAAAATCATATTTTGGTGCCTATGTGTCATGATCCCATGATCTCATTCCTGCCATTTCATAACACTATGGAATTAAAAAGTTTGAAGGTTTAAAGTACAACTGACATACTGTCTTCACAGTGATATGTTTTATGTATTAAGCTCAGAATGACTTGTAACCCCTTATCAGACTTGATATCGTGAAAAGGAAATATTGATCATCACGTTATTTACTGTGTCTGCAATGCACAGATCCACATCAAGAAAGGCCTCAAAACAGCCTTGAGTGAAAGCATGTAAGCCCATCAATAAATCTCTCATTTACTGGTCAGGAGCTCTTCTCAGATTCCTCTGTGCCACCAAGGCTATTCAGACCTTTAAATCCTCCTCTTAAACAGGTTTTACGATAGTCATTTCTATC